TTCCATTCACACTTTTAAGTAAAAATAGCTCTCGGTAAGGACTTCATTTAGAAGGATGGCTGACATCATCAGAAAGAGAGTGTGGAGACGCAAGATTTTAAGGCATTTTGTCTGTGAGCACTGATGGCTTAATATCTGTATTCCTGTCTCCTCTCTTCTGTTTTTTTCTGATAGCATTACTTGATTTCCCATTCCAATGGCCCTRTGGGAGCTTTCCCATTGATAATAACTGTTGGAATATTTATCCATTGTCTGTGTTTAATTGTTGCATTTCACAGTTTTTATGTGAAAAATCTTCATGCCAAGTTCCCCATTGTTTGTCTCCCAGTGAGGACGTTTTAACAAGGTAGATGCTATCATCCAATAAGTTTCTAGTATCCAAGATAATGAATTTTAGATGTCATTGGCAAGATTATTTTCACCTTCTAAGTGTTACTTTGGTTTTCTTCTAATTTGAAATGTTTTTTTTTTTATATTCTGTGTATATAGATTGGAAGTTACAAGTGATTTCTTTCAAGTTTTTGTTTTTAGATTTCATCTGCTAAGAACCTATAGTGCAAATAAAATTTTGCCAGCAATTAGCTTCTTCTAGAACACTAAGGAAATAAATCAGTCATTTGAATAGCACCTACTTATTTCCATGGACATCATCCAAATGAATGTTAGTCTAATTTTTTTTCAGATTCCATCAAATTCATGAGGTCAGATGTCACTGAACTGAGAAAAAGTAAAAGTCAATCAACTGAAAATCCATATTTTTATAAATTTTTTTGCTATGATGTTTTAGATATTTATTTCTAAATTAGATTCATGCAACTGCCAAATTTGTACCCAGAGGTAGTTACCACTCTGAGCCTATGAAAATATATACTCTTCAGGTACCAATATGTATGAATGTGTATACATAAATATATTTAACTCAATAAATATTCCTTTAAAATACCTCAATATTTAGCCTATCCTAGATACGTATTTACCCAGTCTACCTTCCGTGTTTACCTAAGTGATTAGAAAAGTCCCTTGGGCAAACAGCAGAGATTTTATAACCTTCCATGGAAGTTTCTGTAAATTTGCTTTTTGAAGAAAAGACTCACTTTGGCTTCTTACTCTGTTAAATTCCCTTTTCATATATGATTTTTTCCTCCTTGTCCTTCAAGGGAAACAGAATAAATTTAAAAAAAAAAAAAAAAAAATCCTGGTGTCAGCATGGTTTTGGACGAGGATTCGGCAAAGGATTTAAGCACAGGAGTAGTCCTGCTGACTTCATTGGGAGCCCCGGGCGCTCCAAGGAAGGTTTCCCTTTGCCGTGCAGCAAAGCGGGAGCTGCTGTGAGCTCCTGTGCCAGTGGACAGCTTCATATTAGTGAAAACGGGAAGAAATGCAAAAACAGGGCAAGTTGTTGGAAAACAGGGAAAGGATGGCTTCACATAAGCTTTCAAGCACCTTCTGTAAATGTAGATGCTTCAGATATAAAGGTGATTTGATTGATTTTTTTTTTTTTTTTATCTTATTCCTAGTAGAGAACTACTTTGCTGCTGCCTAGTGAAAGTAAGGCCATGCCCCATGGGTAAGAACAAAGCCTAAACAAAGCATAATGTCTCTAAACTAGCACCATATTGAACAAATAAAACATGGGAGCTGGCTCTTAAAAGTATGTTTAAGCAGGAATTGTGGAGAAATGTGCACAAATATAGTAATGAACGTAGAGTACGAAAGCACTGCTTGCCACAATTCAGTCTGCAAACAATAGCATTTTTTGTGGGCTTGATCCTCAGAACTGCTGGGCACTTTAAACAAGGATGTTTCTATTGACTCCTCTGGGAGAGGAGAACAGTAACTTCACAGGACTGAGCCACATGTTGGGAGTAAGCGCGCGACAGCCGCCAGCAGCGCCAGCCAGAAGTGCTGGCTGCAGCTTGTCAGGCGCAGTGAGAACTTGGATGTAGACCTGGAGTGCTGAGCGTGTCGTGACTGAGGAGAAGCTGCAGTATTTTTGGGGGAGGGGGAACTGGAAACCTTCTCCGAGTTCACCTTCAAGCTCTGCCGACTTGCATACTGCAAGTCCTTTGAATAATTAGAGACAATTAAGGGATATGAGCCAAATCTGAAACCTTTGCTTATGTCTTTCGTCGATAAAATGCTCAACATGGGTCAGATGGGAAACAACAGGAGGGAGTCTGCATCTTAAGACAGTCTTGTTTGTTAGTAGCCCTTGGCGATGGATTTTTGTAATAGGCCTATCAACCTTTGCATTTGTAGCAGAAAAGTGAACACTTCCTAAAAACCGAGCTCTGGAGAGCAAACAGAATGTTGAAAGCTGCRTTTGTAGAGACCTCGAAGTAGGCACCAAAACCTGAGGGGTTGGGGTTGTTGTTATTCAAGGACAGATACAATATCTATTAGTAATAAAGGAACAGTTCATGAATTCAAGAACTTATGGCCAAGCTTGTAGGAACTAAAGACAATCTGCAGTTCCTGAAGTCAGATCATGTCTCTTATGACAATTTATTATATTTTCTGTGAAGCTAATTCAGACTCTTGCCATTTTTCAGGACAAAGAGCAAGATTTTTCATTTCAGTTAACTTTAAGCAAATGGCAGTGACTGAACTGATGGGTGTGAAAAATACACATAATTCCAAACAGATTCTGCTATATGAGGRCAGAAGCATCCACTAGGAACTAAGATGATTATATTTAATTTAGAGAGCTGTACGATAATGTGGATGGCGAGAAAATTGTGAGCAACAGAAGCAAACCTAAGGCACATATAAGGCCTCCTTTCCAAAGCAGTTTGAAACTTAGGCTTCTGGTGTTTGTAAAGCATGTTTATTTTTTGTGTACAAGAGAGAAAGGAATGCAAAATACTGCAGTTGTGTYGCATATGGTGTAAAAATAGAACAAACATAAATCGGAAGATTTGCACTATACTTGCCCTTCAATAACCAACCATCTATTTAAGGAATATTTATATTATTAATATACATGTGGAAGCTTTCTTCAACAGTGGTTGTTTGCAAACCATCTACAGTTTGATTCTGAATGCTTAGAAAAGCACCATAGAGCACAACTACAACACACCACTTTCAGGTCTTTTGATAATTTTTTTTCTAGCTATGCAGCACAAGGTCTTCATGTACATGCTGTATCTCAGATGCATCCTCTAAAACCTAGTATACATCATAAACAAATGCAGCTGTGTTTGGAGCCCCTTCTGAGCTGCATATGAAGTCCATAAAGCAACCATCTTTCACTTCTTGGAAATTACAATGCTAATTAAAAACTGCCTGGTTGATGCCTGGTTGTATTAATAAATGAGGAAGACTTTATTCCACTGAAATGGTTTCTGAGAGATGGCATATATACTCTTGCACAACAGGATCCAGATAGAAGACTCTAAAGTTATTGTCTGTCTTTCCAGTACTTCTTTGTTGTTACTTCCAAGATTTTCTTTCCAGTTCAGGACCTTGCAACTTCTAAAACTTTTCAACAGCATTTTAAAGATAAACAGATTGATTCCAGATTGTCTGCCAGTCATGCTATATCCTGTGTTAAAACTGATGATATATAGATGAGAAGAGATTCAGGTAGGACCTAATGCACATATGGTCAACATATCCTGTATTCAAAGGGAATAAGAATTCAAAATTCAGTAAAACACTTTTGCCTTTTGAATCTGTTGGCTTATACTGTGCTCCCTCTTTGAGGAACTGTAACACAAGTCTTTGTACCTGTGGTTTTCTGTCTTCATAAAGACTGAAGAATGAAAGTCATTTTAAGAAATGGCGGAACATGGGAGCATGGGACGTAGAAGCTCAATCGTTTTCTTATTAGAAATATTTATTAGGTGTCTCATCTCTTGGTTCTAATCGAAAGATATCCTCCTCAGAAAGTTACCTGTGATTATGGACGCTGCCGGTTGCATACGAGAGGCTGCGTTTTGCCAAAGTGAACTTGTGATCTCTTTCCTGGAAATAACCATTACATATCTTCTTCGTTAATGTTTATGGAAGTCCATTCAGAGTTTACAGCATGCTGAGATATGTCATGTAGGCCTTTTATTTTCWTAAATTTGACAAATATTTTCATGTGACTTCTGGTATACTAGTTATGAGGTGCTTCTGATTTTTTTTTTTTTTTAAATTCATAGTTTGTTTTAAGCAGCAGCAATGTATTCCAGATAACACATCTGATTTTGAGCACTTTAAGCAAATACTTCAAGTAGTGGTAGCAATACCTTTACTCTCCATTCACTGCTTCATACAGATAAGGGAGTGTTCATGTGTGGTGTCCAAAAAGCAGCAATGGAGTCAAGTTTTTCAAGTATCAAGGCATCAAGACATCTTCTGCCTGATAATTGGATCTACCATCTGACTTKTTTCAAGTAGAAACTCTGATCATCTGAGTTCAGCCTTGGCAGTCTAAACTATGACTATTTATTTGTAACTGCAAGGATGATAAAGGAGGTAGCAAATAATATGCCTGTGGCACCTGTAATAGGTGTTATTTGAGGGAAATGAAGCAAAGTTTTATTTTTAAACAAAAGTTCATGAAGTTTGTTCCAGAGAATGTGTGCAACACTTAAGTGCTTCATCGCGTGGAAAAGGGTCGCCCACATTTTGCACATATGTTTGCACATTTGTTTTGTTAAAACAAATGACGGTATCATTCACCTATAGCAAGATGAAGCTCTGCTGTATGAGCAACAGCTGCTTATGTGTTAAATCTTGGCCTCTCTGAATTTATTTCTGTGGTTCAAGCGTGTTCTGTTTTCTGATCCGTAGCTGTAGCACTTCATTCATGAATTTAACCATTTTAACAAGCGTAGATGTTAGATTTTCATAGATTTTCATTTTCCTTGCCTCAATTTCTTTGAAAGAACTTGATGGCATTGCAAATGATGTTCACTTCTGTGTCTGCAGTATCTGCAAAGCTCATGGGGCAGTATCTGTACTCATAAGTCATCTGGAAAGTCACCAGTCCACATCGTTTCTCATTCCAGGAACTTKTAAACAAGCCCAAAGCAAAACACCTTGTCACCATCAGCTGTCTCCATCAAATGTGCACGTCACAGAATATCCCGTGGACAGCTCTTCAGCTACCAGGGAGCAAGTTGCCTCTTGAGAGCCTGTGCTAGAGGGATATGTTCAGCATGTCATGGGCTGGGTYGCAACGTGCTTTGGATCACAGTGTGTCCACCTGAACAGGACATCAGAGTGGCACAGGTGAGGACCATAACTCTGGAAAACAAGATGAGGGGATAGTCAGGGGAATAACTGACCGCACAATGATAATATTTTTTCCTGTGTTTGTGGYAAGCATCATAAGAATTTAGAGGATAATTTCCTTTTCCTATTGTTCATAGAGAGTTTAATAAAGAAGGGTTGGCTTCAAGGTTGGCTTTTGTCAACAAAGATTTTAAGTAGCATAGTTCAAAATAGTTATCTCTCTCTAAGAAGGCTGCAAGTAAATATCTGAACCACATGGATAATGGTCTTGCACTAACTCTTGCCTCTTTTGTTAAACCCATAGCTGTTTAAATGAAAGATAGCCATGTAAACAATACGTTCCTAGTGATCTTTTCTTCATAGAGTCATTTAGGGTTCCAGGCTTCCTGTGTGATCACTGCATTTGATTAGCACTGACTAATCAGATGATTTTTGTCTCTCATCTCAACTTGAAGAACGCTGATACTTCTTTTCTCATCGTGTTTCATTGGGAGCTAAAGTTAACCTGGTCGCCTTTGATACCTGCTTGTGCTTGCTGTACCGCAACGCCGCTGAAACTTTATAGTGGATCTTGTGATTATGTCACTGAAACTGTGAGAACAACACTCAAAATTTGGATATCGCTGCGGAACGCACATTTCAACAACCATAGTTTTTATAGGTCTTATAACAACAACATATTTTTATTAAATTCAAGTTTGAATAACAATAGAATATGTGTTTAGGAGTTTGAGTATTTGGAGTATCAGAGACTTCCTGTAGCGTTAATAAAAATAGATCTAGATTTAGACCTTCAAACTACTGTTTCTAGGATTCCCATTGCTACAGGACATTGACTGTATATCACTGAAATATTCTTTTTGATTTTCCAAGTCTGAAAATGGAACACAAAGTTCACAAAAGCCAATATTTTGAACTCTGAACTCTACGACCCAAGCAAAAGTTCTGAAATACTGAGCCAAGAAAACATGTTTGSTTTTCCTTAAGTGTCAATCATTTTGTTCAGCAGAAATTTCCAAATATAGAATTATTTTGTCTAGTACCCACCACCTTTTGGCCAACGAGATAAATTCCTATCGCTGTAACAACATTAATTGCGAATGGAATCTTGGCATATCGTGTCAAGTCCCTACCTCATTCCTCTTGTTCTTTTAAGTTACCCTCATACGTACTCCAGAATTCGACTAAGGCATTGACAGAGCAATTAAAACCCTTTAGATAGGGTGAAAGATATCCCATATGGGTCAATGTCTGAAAACACATGCTCTCTGGTGCAGTACCCCTGTATGATGTTTACTCTCCACAAGCATATGTATGAACTGCAGCCAAATACTTCTGAAGTTACTAATCATCTCAAGGGCTCCAGGTTTTCAGATGCCAAATTTGAGGCAATTAAAGGTGAGCAGTTTCCATTCTGAAAAGGTCCTGAGTTCAGATTCCAAAAAATGAGTTCCCTAATATTATTTTATTTCTGTGTAACTACTGGTTATACCTGAGTGGGGAATATTTGGAGCTGCTCTAAAGAGAGGAAAAGAGGTAAAGGAGGAAATACCATCTCTTTCTTTTTTACCAAGTGGAGGCAGGAACATGGATTCATTCCCTTATGGATATTTTTCGCACTTCCACAGCTGCCTGTCCCCTGGAGGTCGTGGGAGGCCAAGAGGGTTGTTCTTTCCACTGTAGCTGTCAAGAAGGACAGGCAGGGTTCTTCAGCAGCATCTTTAGCAGCGTTCTGCCCCCTCCCCACTCCTTATCTGCTACTGAGATTTAACTTTTCTTCCATTTTCCTCCCAAACAATACAGAAACATCACAGAAGGAACGATGTATGGGGGGGAGGATTTTTATTTCCTTGCTTTCTAGCAAAATTAAAGATGACTTTAACAATCAGACYTGTACTGAAAACTGAAAGAAAATGTCAAGTTTGGGCAGAACCATTTTATTTTGTGCTTTAGCAATTGTAGTACAATGCAGGAAAAAGGGTAACAATTATTTCATGGAAGCAAACAAAAATTAGAGAAATTAAATTTGTTTTAAGATACCTCGTCACTTCAAAATGATAAAAAAAAAAAAAGATGAGATAGCTTAAAAAAAATAAAAAGAGGCTATTTTTTCATATTGTGATCTCTTTTGGCAGCAATTCTAGCCTCAGAGATTCTCTATAGCTGCAACTGGGTATTTGCTCCATTTTTTCCAGCCTAGATTACGTTCAAGTAGAATATGACCCTACTTACCTCAGTAGAGTTGGTTCAGTTATTGCTATTGCTGTGCTCTAACAGGATCTCGGCACTTGAAAAAA